TATGGCTTGCCCAGATCACCCCGTCAGTTACAAGCTGGCTATCACCTCAAACTCTGAGTTAGAGCCTATATTTCTGTCTTTTAAACCAGTAGTTTTCTGGCTATGCTTGCTCTTCAAGGGCCAAGCAAGTATGGGAGTATGTGTGTATGAACAAGTGGGGCTTTGGGTCCCAACCTGCTCTTAAACTAGGGAAGCTCTTCCTGGATCTGTTTGTCTGTTTTACATCTGGGCAGGATTTCATTTAATAAAGGACCCTGCTACTGAAAATGTTTGAAAACCACTTGTCTAGATTAGTATTTTTCATGGATAGTGTAGTGGGTTGAATTGTGTCCCCTCAAGAGCTATGTTCAAGTCTTAAATTTGTGACCTAATTTGGAAAAAGGGTCTTTGCAGACATAATCAAGTTAAAATAAGATCACCCTAGATTAGAGTGGGCTCTAAATCAAATGACTGGTATCTGTATAAGAAAAAAGAGAGGAAGATTTAGATACAAAGACATAGAGGAGAACTCTATGTGATGACAGAGGTGGGGAATGAAGTGATGTGGTTGCAAGCCAAGGCATGGAACAGATTCTCTCTTAGAGCCTCCAGAAGGAATCAGCCCTGCCAACACCTTTATTTTGGACTTCTGGCTTCCTGAACTATGAGAGAATACATTTCTTTTATTTTAAGCCACCCATTTTATGGTAATTTGTATGGCAGATATATGAAACAAATACAGAGAGGTATATTGACTCCTACCTAGAAATGGGTGAGGTGGGCTTATTAAAATGCTTATTCCAGGCTCAACCCCCAAGATTCTGATTCTGTAGGTATGTAATAGGGCTCAGGAATGTGCATTTTAACAAGTTCTCCATAGACACAAAGATTGACCTTTGAGCTTATTATGACCACACACAGATACAAGTCTCTTCTGGATTATTGCTGGATTTGTTCTCCCTGCTGACGATGCTCCTCTAGTGGTTCCCAAAGTCAGTGGGCTGAGGGGGTAGATTTGATCGACAAAAAATAGGCTGATGTTAAAACTTCTGCAGTCCAAAAATTTTGAATTCTAAAAATTATTTAAGAGTGTTTATTCCAAGAAATCACAAATCCCTTAGGTTGCCAGAATCTGCCCCTAAGAAAACAGGCTGTAGTGGTTAGGGAGTGGATGCTGCCAAGAGGATCAGATTTCTGGAGCAGCATGAAGACTACAGAATAACACACACACACACACACACACACACACACGAAGTCAACAGAATAACACCACACACACACACACACACACACACACACACACACACACACACACACACACACACAAGCTTCTACTTGTTGTCTAGTGCAGGGAATTCTATCCGATAGAGCATCACCATTTTTACTTTAAGATTTTGTTCCTATTAAAAATACAGGTCTCCAAGTGAGTTTTGATACTTGAAGCCAGTGTTAACCATTTATGCCTGGCCTCTACTCTTTATCTGAGAGCAGTTTCGATGGGTTAGAAGAGGGAGAAGAGCACAATGGGCTAGGGTAAGGATGGAGCAGAGGGGGTTTTGCTGCCAGCCTAAAGCCAAACTCCATGCCCAGTAAAACCAAAGAGGGCACTAGTTTATATACCCAGGATTTCTGGAGGGAGGTTAGTCATGCTCAATCCCTTGGAAAAATGGAGGAGGGCCTCTGTGAAAAAGGACAGGTGTTTGGAATTTGTTTGTGGGAGGAGTGCCTTCCTGATAGTAGCCCACCTATCTGGATCCAAAGTCATTTAGGAGTCCTGTGTTTGCTCACATCCCTGATGCTGCTCTCAAGTGAACAAATCTCATTTCTATTTTCCAGAAATGCAGAGCTCCTGCACTGTGGCAGTCTGTTGTTATAGTTACTGACATATGACTTATCACAGTGATTGTCAGAGCAATGGTAGAAAATGAAATTTAGCAGGGGCTGGTGATGGGGGTTCGGAGAGAGAGGAGAAAGGGAAAAGAAGGCTGCTGAAGATACTTGGGGATGGAGCTGATGGTTTTGTGGGTTTGTACATATGGTATGATATTCGAATATAGTTAAAGAAGGTCTTATACTGGCAGTGTGTCTAAAAGGATCTTGGTAAATGACAGCTTGTCCAAAATAGCTTCACCCAGGTTTCATTTGCCTGATATTCCACCATTAGTGATTCATTTCTGTGAGTTAAACACTAACTTTCTCCAGGGAAGGTTATGCCTTAGATTGTATTTTAATTTAAGTTTACCTGGTACTGTTCTCCCTCAGGTTTTGCCAGAACACTGAGGAAAGATGGGAGAAATGGGGACCATCAAATAAGGACTTGGCCTACTTTCAAAACTCTGATAGCGCTGGTATTGCTAGCTCCCTCTTTAAACCTCCCCTGTGCTCTCCTCTCTTTCAAAACAGTTATGAAGCCAAATGGAAGTGAATATGAATGTTTGGGATTTCTTTTACAATTAGTTAGCCATGTGAATTTCTGGGAGATACGCTTAATTCCTTCATGTTCATCAGTATTTATATATTACCCATTATATACTAGGCACTGGGTTAGGTATTGATAGGGGAAATATGGGAACAGTTGGGCATTAGATTATGCCACACATTTAAGGAACGATCTTGTTACAGAGACCAGATATTTATTTATAGAAATAAGGCTGACCAATAGTATATAGTAGTGAGTGATTGGTGTCAAGTGAAGGGCTATAAAATCTCAGAGGTGGGTGAGATCATCATGCTATACAGTGTAGGTGGGTAAGCCTTAGTTCAGATTGGCACATTATATCACTCAGGCATTTAACAGGGCTCTGGGGAAATGGGGCACAGAACAAATCAGTTTTGATGGGGATGGTGATGTGGACTGAGTAGAGAACATGTTCACACCTCCCTGCTTTGCTATTCATCCATATGATGAATCCTTTCCAGAGAGCTTGTTCATACTCCACAGTTCTATCCCATCTTGGAACTCCTGTGCTGTGAATTCTAAGACTTACTCAGATTGTTAGGAAAGCAGTACAGCCTAGTAGTTAAGAAGGTGGATTTAGGAGCTAACCTCCTGTGTTTCACAGCTAAGCTCTGACATTTATTGTGATCTTGGATAATTGACTTAAAAATCTTGTGACTCGATTTTTCTCATTGGTAGAATGGGGATGGTAACAAAAGTGTCTATCTAAAAGAGTTGCTGGGAAGATTAAATGAGGTGAGCCATGTAAGATGCTTAGTACAAGGCTGGTTGCATACTATTCATTCATAAATTAAGTATTTATTGAGTGCATGTGGTGTCTTAGGTACTTTTCCAGTGCTAGGATACAGCAGTGAAGTAGAGAGACAAGGTCTCTTCTCTTTTGGTGCTATGTTAAATGCTGATGGGGAAGAAGGGGATTCAGGTTCTTTACCTAAGGAACTTTTAATCTAATGTCTTGTTTTCTGCTCTATCAATTCTAACTCTTAGTCTGTGAGTGATCTTAGCTTATTTTCATTCCTTTTTGTTTAACTAGGCAAGTATTAAATTTATGAAATCCCTTTAAATCCAGCCTTGGTCATATCCCATAAGATTTGATGTTGAATGTTTTCATTATCAATATTTTCTAAGCACTTTGCAATTTTGGTTTTTATTTGTACTATTTCTACTTTTTAATGTATTGTGGTACTCCATGTTTGTGACTCTGTTTTTACTTTGTCCCTACTATGTGCCCAATGCTATGCTCTGAAGGAAGAGAGACAACGAAAAGACCTGTTTGACTTGAGGCATTTAAAATGGACTAGGGGAGACAGGCTGGAAAAAACTGTTAATGAAGAGTATTGAGTGCTAGGCTTTATGGGTTGGTTTCTCTTCTAATGAGGTGACATTGTAATCATTGAAAGGATGCACAAGAATGATAGAATTGTTACACTATTTGGGAAGTATAAGCCTGTATCATTGTTTGAATAT